AATGTACATACATACATACATACATAAATACTACATACATACTAGATGCGAGTATCCACATATAGGCCCATTGAGCCATGACCGCTTTTCATTCACTGCATTTTCTCGTAGGATATATATATATGCATGTGGTGGCAGTAGTACTTGTTGTTGTTGTCGGTATTACTCTGCGTTTTTGGTACTTGATATCCATTTACGCACATGCACATGCCAAAAACAACAAACACTTCACATATTCAACAGCGCGCGTATTACTACACTTGATTGGGGCCGGAGAGTGGAAGTCAGTGAAAGCACTGCAGGGAAAATCCGAGCTAATGAACCAAATTTCTAGTTCCATACTAGTGCTGTATGGCCAAAAACGAACCAGTCGGGTAGTAGTTAGGTAGATCACCCCACTCCTAAAGCCGCGAAATGCCGTACTTTACAAAACTATTTTATTTTACTTTTTAAAATTTTATTTCGCGAGCTTAGAGCAAAAAACTGCAAATCCACTGCTTTTCTGAAAAATTTAATTTTGAAGCAAGTACAATTAAAAATACATCGTGGTCTAAAAAAACGAACTACAAATTTTATTTCTAACTGTTTCTATTCAGTGGTACACAAAATTTGCTAAGTCCAAAATGGTCACGGAAGACATTCGTGTTGTTATTGTTCTTGCTTCGTGGTTGTAAATTCTCTGGAACCACACCAATTCGGCACTAGTACGTTTTACTACTGGGAGCAAATACGCATATGTAAGTATGTCTGTATGAGTGTACGTATGTACATAAGTGTGCGTGAGTTTAGCCTGCAGGAAAGTCCACTAATGCTATTCTAGTTCAAAACCGTGAACTTTAAATGATCATGATTCAAGAGTATGAGAAAAAATAGAGGCTGTAATACATTAAATATGGCATTAGGGCGAGTCTTATGTTTAGAGTTAAAAATTTACATATTTAAATTTTTTTTTTAACCAGGGAAAGCATCGTAAGCCTGTATACTCCATCAGTATTGGACTATAACCGAACTAAACCTCCTACTGCCCCTCCGGTGCTACCGTTAAGTATTTCGGCGGCAGGCGGATTGAGCGCAAAGCTCACATATACATACGTTACGGTTTTAGTTTATTCAGTTGTTAGCCATTTCATTCCACCACCCGATCGACCATATGGGTCAAGATACTGCTTTAACTTACCAAGAATCTTCTTCTGTCTTGTTCAGCTTATTGCTGCTAAATATATTCGAAACTGCGCTCCAGATTTCTGAGGATTGAAGCATATTTGCAACAATATTTTCAGGTGATAGTTCTCCTTTAAAGACATCTTGCAACAGAAGAATACGTATTCAAAATCTTCGGTAGAAATTTCTTCGGTAAACCTTAAACAGCTGTGACGTGTAAGCAATTGGGTTAAATGAAAATTTTCCTCCCTATGAGAACGGTTTAAGCGGCGATTCCAACAGCCAGTTCGACAAAATTTCTCTCCTTACTTTCTTTTATTTTTCAATTTTAGTGGTAATTAATCCGATTTTTCAAGATAGGTTTCTTTAGCCTAAGTTCTATCGGATGAAGGCGTGCGACAACCACGGCTACGTCTCTGGATACTGTAATAAATGACTTGGTGATAGGCCACCAGAAGTCTTCAATGAATTTATTTAGACGGTTCTAAATGATACACTGGAGGATCTTTCCCACCGAGTGGACGCAAGTGAAACAGTTCGGTTGACGATTTTTTGGGCTTCGGTGGCAGCAGTAACTTCTGCATTTTTCAAACAGTATGAAAGTATCTTTCTTTAATGCACGCCAAGTATAATGCCGTAAGATGCCAATAAATGCTACATTAGGAATACAGTTAGTTCCTGCTGCCTTAGCTGATTCGAGTCACTCGCGTTCGTTAGAAACGTCTTGGCCTGGTTTGCTGTACGGGTACTACTGAATTGTAATATAGTTTGGAGTGTTTGGGAAAAAGTATAGAAACAATATCTACCAGAACACTGGGAAAAGTTGGCATTTAGGCTGGGTTACAGAGTTCCTCACTACTTTTTATGCGAGTCCCCAGGCATTCGTTTTTGCGTCGTCGCAGAGACTTAGGAAACAGTCACGTTTGCTGCTTTTTATTTTTAATTTTAATTTTATTTCTAAACGATTCCTGTCGTTCGAATGGACACCGACGCTCCTGCTCTGGAAGTATTCAGCGCGGAACCCTCTGCTGGCAACAAAGGAAGAGGAAGGCCCCCACTGCGTTAGAAAGAGCAGGTGGGGAAGGACTTCGCTTCACTTTGCGTTTCTAATAGTCTTTAGTTGGCACAAATGAGAAAAGACTGGCATGCTTTGTTGAACTCGGCCAAAATCGCTTAGGCGGTTAATGCGCCAAATAAAAAGAAGAAGATTTTTGGAGAGGATAGAAAGCATTTGAACTTCTCTCTCTTTGGTACAGGCGTTTTGCGTGCTGGCATTCCTTGAACATGTTCGCAATTTTTTCATACCACCTTATGCACAGAAAGCTTACCGCTTACTCTCCCTGTTTTAACAACCTCTTGAGTTCCATCAGAGTCGCTATCAAAAACAACAAAATTAACAGCAAACTTAACGTTGTTAAACTTCCACCAATGGCGCAGACAACGTCCAGAGACTGAATCTTCGTTCACGATTAATTGTGTATATACATTAGGGTACCTCACCGAAAAAATTTTGGTTTTTTGACCGAAAGGAAAGTCGAGATTATTTGTAGGCGGTAATCACGAAAACTACTGAACGGATTTTTACGAGATTTTCTTATTAAATAAGAAAAGTATATTAATACTCTGTGTAATAGGAGAGTGACCTTTTCTATTTTTAATTTTAATAGGGTTGCCACCTGTCTAAAAAACTATAAATCCGCACCGTTCATTGGATTACAAAAAATGAGGTGTCAAATGAAAGCGATTGGCCTCTAGAAAAGCGCGAATGTCTTATTTTTTGAGTAGGGTTGCCACCTGTTTAGAAAATTACTATTTGCAATCCTAGTATCTTAGGCATCTGTTCGGCACCGTCACTGTCAAATGAAAAGACTAAGCCTCTAGATGTGTAATAATGTATTATTTTTCTGAATAGGGTTGCCACCTGTTTAAAATCTTCACCGTTCGTTGGATAACAAATTGAGATACCAAATGAAAGTGCATGGTCTTCGCATGCGCAAAAACTTTTGTGAGTAGGGATGCCAACTATTTAAAATTACTATCTTATCCTTACGTAGCATAAAGCAAAGCCAAGATTTTATTAGCACGCTAATCTCGAAAGCTACTAAACGGATTTGGATACCATTTTGTTTTATATATTCTATATCGTTAGGGGTATTGTCTTTAGTGCATAGCATTTATATAAGGTTGCCACCTGTCTAAAAACTTATAATATCCTTACATTGAATTACAAGAAGTGAGATGTCAAATGAAAACGCTTGTCGTCTAGATGTTCAGTAATATGTTATTTTTTGAGTAGGGTTGCCAATTTTTTTTAATTATGAGATCTTCACCATTCGTTGGACAAAAAAATTAGAAATCAAGTAAAAAGATATTGTCTCCGGATGTGCAAAAAGTATTAATTTTTTTTGAGTGGGGTTGCCACCTATTTAATAACTACCACCATGCATCAGATTTTCACAGTTCATTCAATAAAAAAAAAAAACAAGTGAAAGGATATTATCCTCAGATGTACAATTCTTTAATTTTTTGGTGGGGTTGCCATCTATTTAAAAGTTACAACCTTACATATACTATGTGAAGGCTTTTTTTATTTATTACATCAGATTTGGTCAATTCATTCATTTAAAAAAATTAGGTCTCAAAGTAGGCCGACTGGTTTATTATATTTTAAGACTTCCGGAAAGATAGGGAAAAAACAAAGATTTATGCGAACTGGACCGATTGGAAATCTCATCCAAAATATCATTATTTTGCTGCCGTTAATCAAATTTTTAAACAGTTTTATTCGCACCTTGTAAGCTTAAACTTGTCTATCATCTGAAGTGGTTTCATGGAACAAAATATTTTTAAAAACTTATTTTATTTATAAAAAATTTATTTTTGGGGTTATTTTCAAATCGGTCCATCTCACGATGATCTTAGTGTTTCTCCTAAATATTTTTTGGCGGAAGACTTATTTTATAAAAAAATTATAATTTCGATCGAAAAACAGTTGTTTGTATGCAGAGTGATATACCCTAATGTACATACATATGTATGTATGTGTGCGCCAATGACCATTCGTCCGAAAACAACAGCAGGAAAAAATATTACTTTAAAGTTAAAAAAAATTACCAAGGTTTTCACCATTCACCCTTTCATTCATAGCCACTTTCCAACGCTAAGCACTCTTTCGCCTTCTTAGATTTGTAGCTTCATCATGATGTACGTTTATTACCAAACAAACAAAAACAACTTTACGGTCATAAAACGTGGAAACAAGTAAAGAAAAAACACGCTAAGGGCGTAAATACGTAAAGAGAAAAAAACCAAACTTAAATAAACAACCGCTGCTACTGTCTGGCTACTGAATTTATTGGAGGCACTGGCACAGGCGCTGGCCTGTCTTCGCCTCAGAGGTTAAATGGCTACATTAGCACGGACTCAATTCAGTAAAGAAAGCACTTATTTCGAATTAAATGTAATTTTAAGGTGTATGGAGTGAAAAAACTGTATCTTAATTTGGCATCGATTTGCGGGAAATTGAGATTTTGACCAGTTTACGCGAAAATAAAGATACAACGAACCAACACAAGCAGCATAAGTAATGAAGATCTGGAAACACTTTCTCATCACATAAGACTGTTTATAGTTAAGTGAATGCCCAGCAACACTACCGCCAACTTCCACCTAAAGTAACCTTATTGGGTTGGGGGGTTTCTTTACAAGCTTTGAAGACGTTCCGCAACTCTGTACTTTCTTCTTCTTCAAGTTCTTTAAATTGATCTAACTTAGCCAATCTCAGCTATCGCAGCGTTGAGTAGGATCTTATAGCCACTTCCATTCTGGCACTTAACACCATGCTTACCTCAGAATTGGGACTCGCAGGCATTCTTGTAAGCTTCGACTTCATCGCTGGTAATACCAATGTGGGGGTAAAGCAGAATGTCATCCAAGACGAAATAGTGTAAGTTTAGGATGTCAACAAAACGATATGGCGAAAAGTATCTGCTATTTTCTTTCGTTTAGACATCTTTATGTACCAATACAAGGGATTTTTACTTATATGCGCTTGCTACCACCTTATATGGATGCGCCTATCCTACTGCCACTCAATTGTCTTACACAAGACTTTCAACTATCTTAGTCAGAATGGCCCTGTAAAAGTACTTGAAATCATTTAAAAATATTTCAATTTTATATTTTGTAAATATGTTCATTAGAATTAATACACCGAAATCCGCTCTAGTAGTCACTGTCTTACACTTTGAAACTATGGCACTTTGAAACTATGGCGCTCTATTAGACCAAACCCCATTTTGGAGGAATGCTTTTTGGAGCTTCCTATGGTTTCATATAAAAGCTCAAGGAGTAAAAGCTTTCTGGTCGTCACTTATTTAAGTTATGTTATATCAGCATTGACCAGAGAGCTTTTACACTATGCTCGCTCATAAAAAATCTATTAATTGGTCATGACTGGTCTTAAATTGGCAGACACAGGGCAACAGCATTTCATCGATTCACTGTTTCAGAATAAAGGGGTTACAATATGCAGAGCTTTTTAAGGCTTTCTAAAAACTGTATATGTAATGTCTAATAAATTCTATAATTTTTAAAAATATGGGCTCGAGGACAAGGTCTTAGTGAAAATTTCCTAATTAGTTTTAATCGTTGACGTTTGATTGCTTATTTCGTTAAAATATGTGTTTTTTCTTTATGATACGAGTATATCGCTTTGTTAATAAACCTACCCATATGTGTATGTACTTATGTATGTATATGTACTAATTCAATTTTCTAGATATCTACATACAAGTGAACAATTACGTCATGAAGCCGCTTGAGGAATATATGCTCTTCACTAAATCAGGTGCCGATAATATTACGGTAATTCATCCGCAAGGCTTACGCAGCGCACAATGTATTGCTAAATTTGATATATCAGAGCAACCATCACAAGAACCAATGGTCAACGTGAGTTTGGTAAGTAATTGACGAGAATATCTACATATAGTAGGTCCTAGGTATGAGAACGGCAAGCCCGCCCAGAAACAGTAGTAGTGGCGATTTAACCAGAATTTTGAAATTGTAAAGACACAAACAGTAGCGATGCCACGCAAAACTAAGTAATTGCATTAGACTCTTGGGCCTGTTGGCTGATATTGGCGGCGATTGACTCAGCAACTCAATGTTGCTATTCGCTGCATAAATTAGAATGTGTCGAAACCTGCCAGCGGCCGATAGCTTTACTAGTTTTCCATTTACCACACACTCATCCGTATATATGTACACATAAACATACAAATACTAACCATTGCAGAGCGCCGAAGCCTGGGTGGAAGATCCACCGCAACGTGTACTCTACGTAGCTCAATTTGGCTATGACGTTTCCGAGAAGGAAGATTCCACACAAGTGGTATTCATAACGTTGACTTCACTCTTTGTGATCATAGTAATTTGCTGCCTCATAGAAGTGTACCGCAGTCATCGAGCTTATAAGAAACGCATCGAGCGACAAACTGACGAGGACATCATTTGGTCAAAGGAGCAAGCGACGAAAATGCATGAGTCGCCAGGGGTAACCGGCACACAATCGTACGGCTACAAAAAGGTGAGTGTGTGTGTATGTGTGTGTGTGTGTGTGTTGTAGCGGGAGCACAATGCGAAAGCAGAATTGGAATTGAAAAGGTGATTAGTTCCAATTAAACTGTAATTTACATTGTTCTCTCTTTCTCCCGTTGGCAGTTGCCACAAGATGAAAAGAAGCCAGGCAATGGAGCGCCACTTGTGGGTATTTTGAAAAATGGCAGCACAGCCACAACAGCAGCTGCGGCTGCAGCTGCAACAACGCCGCCGGCCAAGGAGAATGGAAGTACGAAGAAAAACGGCGATATACCACTGGGTCATATTGATGCACGCATCGATGAAGAGGAAGAAGACGATGATGATGATGACAATGAAGGCGACGATTTGGTCAGTGCGGCGAACAAAAAAGCGGAAGTGGACAAGAGCTTAGACGAAGCTTTGGAAGCAGAACAGCGTGAAGAGCAGGTGGAGCAGAAAGAGATTAGTGCGGATGCATCACAGAAAGGCGCTCAGGCAGCAAATGAGGATAAGACAAGGCAGGCAAGTGGAAAAGAAATTAGCGCAGATGCAACTGAAAAATCGAATGAAAAACCAAGCGAAGGTGGTGGTGGTGCCACCAACGAAGAAACGAAAACGAAGGAGGGTAGTAAAGAAATTGCGGAGAAGGACAAGTCGAATGCAACAGCAGCAACACCGATAACAAAACAATGCAGTGGTGGTATGTAGCTGAATGGAAGCTAATTTTTAAAGCTTTACATTCTTTTTTATTACAATTTTTTCTTAAATACCTATTTCATTTGTTTATTACCAAAACAACTTCATTTCTTTTACGCTTTCAAATATTTAGCAGACGTTCAAGCAGCAAGCAAAAGCACAGCGTCGACGCCTTTAACGTCAGCGCCGCCACATAACCCGGAGAAGGAGACTCAAACGCCAGCACAAATAGGCGGCGATACGGTGGGTGGCCCACAGCAGCAAGGACAGCAGTCATCGCCTGCGACTACAAATGGCACAACAGCCAATGGCCATGGCACGGTAAGCAAGCGATATTGTGTTGAGAATGGTGCAGGTTTAGCGTTAATTGGCTTAGCTCCTTTATGTTCCATAAACGAAACCGATTTATTGCTTGAATCAGATTGATTTCATTATGTAAATATGTATGCATTAGTGGCATTTTTTGTTATTTGTACATATCACGCTTGTTTGTTTTTTTACGCTCGTATAGAATGCAAGTACTTGCTAATACAATACGTAGATATACATACGTACATTTGTAAATAAGCATAAGGTAAATCCAGCAGAAGATGTAAACAAGCGCCTAAAAAGGACTACCTCAACGCCAAAGCATTTTGGTAATTTTTCAAGGCCATAGGCCACAGCCGATAGACCATAGCCAATAGCTTATAGATTAACTATTTATGGATCGCATCATATCTCATGCCTCATGGATCACAGTTCATAAATCATAGATCATGAATTATAGCTAATAGAACGCACATAGATCATAGGCTACCTCAGCCCTCTTTCAGGAACATTTTCAGACCGTTTTCGAAACATTTTGGCATTAGCTAAGTATCATTTTAGGACTAATAAAGGACAATTTCGGAACCTTTTCAAAACTTTTTTACCGTTTCGGGGCCATTTAAGACTAGTTCATGACTATTTCAGAAACTAGTTTAGCATCATTAGTTTCAGTCATTAGCAGTAGTTCCAAAATATTCCCGATGGAAAAGCAGTGTACTGGTCTCGACGAGATGAAATTAATGTTTAATTTCTAGCCTAACCTATTTCTGTACATTTGAGGACTATTGGGCCCATTTTGGGTTGGTTCCAAACTAGGCACGATGAAAAAGTCGTCTACTTGTCCCGGCTAAATGAATAAAATAAAATGAAATTATGTTTGTTTTCAAGCTAACCTATTTTTTAACCGACTTCCAAAAAAGGAGGAGGTTATCAGNTACCGCATAACTTTGGACCGCGTCAACCGATTTCGATAATTCTTAATTTTTGCATCGGAAAGGTAGTGTCTCAGAGGTGGTCCCATACTAATCTGGTTGAGATCCGATCAGTGGATCATGAGATATATATATATATATTTTTTTTTGTATGGGGGTTGAAGTCGGTTTTTTTTTGCTAAAAATTACTTGTTTATATAACTTAATCGCATAAGGCATTGCCAAGCCGTACATAGATGTTTGCACATTAGATTTTATGAATACCTGGTAATAGCTTGGGTTTATGCCTTAAAGAGCTATCTAATTAATAACCCCCGTTCTCCTATGGATGTCCGATCCCGTTTCTTGATTATCTAAAATTCTGTCAAGTTTACCTATCACCTCATGGATAAATATTTGCGTTTTCGCAGGTTGGCGCTTTATTTGGTCAGCTCTATTGTGGTCGAAAGGAGAGGCACTAGAGCTGTGAGAACATTCAAACTTTAATTTTATCTATAACCGTTTTTTATGCTATACCCAATGGGTCTTAATCTGCATTAATGAACAATTCCTTAAAGAACACACTCTTATAGACGTTTTATAGTTCTATATATGAAGTTGTGACAGATCCATACTGCGAACCAATGGGCTTTATGTGATTTTCGTCGCACTTGATGACTAGATTGCGAATTTTCATGCAGAAAACGAAGCCTAAAGAGAGATCTTTCGCAATAAGTGGGCTTGGATTCTAGTATGGTGTAGGTTACTTGTTTAGGAAGTATAGGGCATGTAATCAAGCTTTCAGTACGGATTTTTCCGCGTTGTGTTGTTCTCCACGACAGGCCCTGCGTTAAAATCTCCGGCGAATATAATGGCAGGTTGGCTTATATTAATAATAATAGATTGGCGCTTACACGTATGTTAGTGTTTGGCTTATATTATTTCTTCGAATTCATCTATGGTCAAACTGAGCCCAAGGTAGCAAAAATTCTCCTTCATCCTTTTAAAACAGACTTCGAGTGACTCGTTCTTGGGTCAAGAGTTGTGAGAATCTCAATGATGGATTCGTTATATGTCGCTTTTATTAACGACTTTTGACATTGAATGTTTTTCCATCCCTTAAAAAATGTGAGCATATCATCACGCATCCTTCCTAACTGATCTATTTTCTTCTGTGAACTTTCGATGTAAGTTCTTATTGTTAAAACCGGACTTTTATTTTCTGCTTCTGTCGCCGACTTTAACGCGCATCCATAAAGGAGTTGAATGCACCACCAGCTTAAAAAAGACGGTGCTGGAACGTACGCCGTGCACTTAAGTTACTAAGATTCACACTCACCAGCACGAAGAGAGACATATCCTTATCATTGTACCAGTGTGCCGTAGTTAGAACCTTACTGAGCTCAGAAGTAATACTGCTGATATATCAGCGATAATCGGTTTACCGAGAACAAGTAGGGTCCACGCAGCCTTTGCTAAACTTCTACCATCCATTTCAAAGCCGTTAAGGTGGATGTGGAGGTTCATTGACCAGGCGCCTAGATCAGAGATCATGGATGGAAATCATAGATAATAGATCAAAGTTTATAAATCACGAATCAGCGATCACATATCATAGATCATCAATCATGAGCCCTAAATCATAGACCGTAAACAATGCATCATATACTATAGATCATTGATCATAGATCATGGACCATGGAAGGATATTATCATAGGTCACAGATCATAAATTGTAGATCACACTTTAAAAATAACAAATCACATATCATTGATCATTGATCATAGATTGAATGTCAGAGATATTTTAAATTCCTAAATTCCAAATTTGGACTTGGAATCCTTATTCCTTTTCTATTTGCGTACATAAATTATTCAGGTCTGTAACGCCTTCTGCTGAGTATTTTTTTTCATAAAACACTACTGGCATACAAAAAACTGTTTGTATTTACATATATGTATTAGGAAAAGTGTTATTTACGCATTTGTCTTTACGTTAACTTGTTAGCAAAAACACACGTACATACATACATATTTTTTATCGAATTAAATGTAAATACATTTCAGTTCTGTTTGCTATTGCAACAAGCTTGCCTCCTAAAAATTTAATCAATTTCTTACTAAAAACCAAAATTTACTTTAAGAATTTCTAACACCAAAAAACTAATCAAATATTGAAATTATACGATTATTTTTCGATGGAATTAAAAGGAATTAAATTTGTAAATACATACACCTAGGAAATTGATTAAATACATTTGCAATCATATTTGTGTGAAAAATATTTGGGTTTTGTTGAAATGTAATTAAAGAAACTAAAAGAGTGCACAGGTAAGTTAAGTATTCACTATATAAGTATATGGGACGTTCCATACCAAAACGGGCGGGGTTCACACTTCATGTGCTTGATTTGTTTCAAATTTTTAGGGTTGATGCATAAACATAAATAATAAACAAATATGAAATTTGAGCTTGATTAATATATTTTTAAAAAGTTTATAGCACAAAAACAAATCGATTTAATATTTTTCCAAATATCTCGAGAACGGGGCGAGGAAAAAATTAAAAAAATCACACATACCCACATCAAAATTCCCTATGAAAAGAAATATTTAAAAAAAAATTCAAAAATTTTTCACATACAAATTTTTTTACAAAAAAAAATTAGCTTTTGAAAATACGCCATCTCAAAGAAGATTTAAAAAAATCACAATGGTAGCTCTGGGTATTGCGCAATATTTAAGTATAGTATTATGGGGTGTGCTCTACAATAATTTGAGTTATGAATTTTTTTACACCAAAGTTTAGTAAAATGAGTACATTACAAATGTACATTTCTTTTAGAATTTGTTTGAGGATGCAGTCTTGTAGCCTATAAAGTTTTAGTATAATAAAGTGCAAGTTTTAAGCTGCTGCAAAATTGTGTTGATTTTTTATATTTTTTATGCTAGCGGCTTTTTGCACTTTTTTCTTATGGAAGAAAATGCGCAAAACCGTTTTCAAAGAAAATTAAAAAAAAATTAGCGCCAGTTTTGCAATCGCCTCAACTTGCACTCATTATACTAGAATTTAATGGGCTATAAGACTGCACACTCAAAAAAATTCTAAAAAAATTTAAAAAATTTTTATTTTTTAATGTACTCATTTTACTCAACTTGAGTGTAAACAAAAAAATCATGCATGCGACATAGCATTTGTATACATAATATAATATACACGTCTATACATTAGGGTGGCCTAGAGAAAGCAAAGTCATATTTTTAATGCTCTCACCCCCTAGAATTGTTCTGTATTGATAATATATCAATCCTGGGGGTGAGAGCATTATAATTCCGACTTTACTTTCCGCACATGCATTTTTGTACCACCCTAGTACACATACGTAGAATAGTGTAGAAACGAATACTTATATTGTAAAGTATTACTAATACTACCTAAATGCATTCCATTAAGTCCATTACATTGCAGGAGTATTCATAAACTAAAATACATGGACTTTCAACTTAATAAAATTTTCCTTTTTATGGTTATTTTCGTGCATTTTTTTTTTACTATTACTTTTATGACATTACAATATTGCAATCTCGTTACATATATATTTATGCACATATTTCTATAAAATAGAGTTATTTTTTTTTTTGGCAAGTTTGCATTTTTGTTAAGATTCTTCTCTACTGCTATGTACTTAATCCTCACTTTTCTCACTTAAATTCCATTCAAAGTTGTCTACAATATTTACAGTTCAAATTCAGTTTCCCATTTCTTTCTTTTTGTTATCATTTTCGACATTATACCTAGGTATTTTAGCGCACACAATTTTTGTGAGGTAAAAAAGTGTGTGCCACAAAAACTTTGAAACTAAATGCATTTCACTACAATTTACTTGTCATCCATTGTAGTTGCTGTCCGTTTTTTTTTTTTTTTTGTTGGTATTTGCACAAACCCCTATTACTTAGCAAATAGCTACTCCTTCGTTTTTGCCATTGTATTGTTGTCATTTCTTGTGTCGTCTTTATTATGACCATCTATTGTTCAAGTTTCGGACACTTTTTGCATTAATAAAATTACGATGGCATCCGTATTTAGTTCGCCCATCACCGATGGGTTTTAATGATAATCCTTTCTTAATGCAGCATTTGTACATAGGTACGTAAAAACAAATTTGAGTTTACTTAAAAATAAATTCTAAACATACACACATTTGTATGCGAATAATAATACAAAGGAAGGTTACCTCCAATTTGTACATATATTTTTTATAATTTAATACAAAAGAAAGAAAGTATTTGGTCAACTGTTATCACTGGACAAAAAAAAAATAAAACTC